AATCTCTAAATATAGAAGATAATAATCTAAAAGGATTAGTAGATGTCACAAGTAAGTTGAGGCATACTTTAAGCGTTTTTTCTTTCTTGCTAAGACATTAAAAGCAATTTATTTGTTACTTATGTGTGATCTAATAACTTTTTTGGTGGTTCTCCTAGAATTTGATGCTTTAAGATGCTTAGAAGAGCTACAAATGAGCTACAACAAACTCAACCAATTCGTTTCCACTAATGGTATCGATCAAATGACATTGTGACTATATGTTTGTTTTATTTTTCGTTTGATAGAGATGTATCTTTCAACTAATTATATGTTTTGTTCAAAACTCTTCAACATAATCTTCATTTTCTTTTTATCATCCACAGCAAATACAAGCTTTAGCAAGTTAAAAACTCTTTATCTTAATGGAATATCACCCAAGGAAAGCAGTGTACCAGCACAGTTATCACTAGAGGCATTCCCATCACTTAAGAAACTCTATTTGACATATAACCATCATCTAAACCAAACCATGTTTATTCAAAGTAAGTATTAAATAGATGGCATTCTACAATATTATTGCTTGTGTTTTTTAAATCAATTTCTATATACCCATAATTTTTTTTTTCAGCAACACATATTCATAACTAATATGATAACCATTTTGCAGCTTTGCGTGTTTTGAGCAATCTAGAGGAACTTTTCTTGGATCAGTCCCCTCTTAGCATAAACTTTCTGCAAAATATTGGTGCATTGACTTCTCTCAAGTCAACATCTCTAAGAAATTGTGGATTCATAGGAACCTTACCAACTCAAGGTTGGTGTGATTTGAAGAACCTTAAAGAGATGGATCTTTCTAGAAATGAATTAGTAGGGATACTACCTTCTTGCTTGGCTAACTTGACATCTCTTCAACTTTTGGATATCTCCCAAAATCTATTCATTGGAAATGTTGCGTCTTCTCCCCTAATTAATCTTATATTGCTCCGATATCTCTCAATTTCTACTAATAAATTTCAAGTTCCAGATTCCTTCAAGTCATTTGCAAACCATTCCAACCTTAAAGTCTTCTTAAGTGATTTCAATCAATTGGTTCCAGAACATGATCATGTTCAAACAAGGGTTCCTAAGTTCCAGCCAAGAGTCCTTAGTTTGTCAAATTGTAGGGCCAATGAGGAACTCACTAAACCTCCTAGCCTTCTCTATTACCTATATGACTTGAGATATGTTGATCTTTCATTTGACCAATTTATGGGAGCCTTACCTAATTGGTTGTTTGAAAATAATACGAGATTACAGGTTGCTATTATGAAGAACAATTCTTTCATGGGTTCTTTCCACTTGCCATCACAACCTAATCTTGATGTTCAGGAAATAGATATTTCAAATAACCAAATACAAGGTGAAATCCCATTAAATATCAGTACGATTTTTCCATATTTAGCATGGTTATTGTTGTCTGGAAATGGCTTTGGAGGAAGATTTTCCAAGTGGTTGGTTAGTATGAACTCTTTAGAATTTTTAGACTTGTCTAGCAACCAGTTCTCTGGAACATTACCAAAAGAGTTTGTTACGGGAAGATCATTAGTTCATCTTAAACTTTCAAATAACAACTTGACTGGGAAAATACCTCCTAGTGTATTTAAGTCTCAATCATTGCTTGCATTGTATTTGGACAGAAACAATTTTGAAGGAGAGATATCCAATGTCCACTTTTCTAGGTCTTCATATCTAAGAATATTGGACATTAGCAACAACAATTTGTTAGGAAAGCTTCCAAGATGGACAAAGAATCTCCTTGGTTTGACTGAATTGGATTTATCCAACAATCACTTTGATGGTTCAATTCCAGAGGAATTTTGCTATAATGTTGACCTTGGGCTTCTCGACCTATCTCACAACAATTTATCTGGGTCTCTACCACATTGCTCTAGTCCATACTCACAATCCTTATCACATATCTATTTGAGCAAAAATAGACTAAATGGTCTTCTAACACATTCATTCTTGAACATCTCTTCATTGGAGACACTTGATCTTGGAGAAAACAGCCTTTCTGGAAGCATTCCAAAATGGATCAACAACCTTTCTTCCTTGAATATCTTGCGTCTAAAAGGTAATCTCTTTTTTGGTGAAATTCCAAATGAAATATGTGAGTTGGACCAACTACGAATCGTGGATTTGTCTTGTAATCAACTTTCTGGTCATATACCTTCTTGTCTGGGACATTTAATTGACGCTCCGAATTCATTTTCATCATGGATTGCTATTAGCTATTCTTCAATGTTTTACTTTGACACATCAACAGAAATGGAAGCTAGATTAGTGCAAGAGGTATATACACTATTGGGTAGCCATATACAAGGTTGGATAGAACTTGTTACCAAGTGGTGGTCTTACACTTATGAAGGCAACATTCTTGCTTACATGTCTGAAATTGATCTCTCTTGCAACCAATTAACAGGCTTAATCCCACTTGCAATGGGAAACTTAAGTGACATTCATTCACTTAACTTGTCCCACAACAACTTAACTGGACCCATACCTTCTACCCTCTCAAATTTGAAGCAACTTGAAAGCTTGGACCTTTCTTTCAATGATTTGAATGGTGAGATTCCATCTCAACTTACTAAGCTAAACTCTTTGGCAGTTTTTAGTGTTGCACACAACAATCTTTTAGGTCCTATCCCATATGGAAAAGGACAGTTTGGAACCTTTGACAATAACAGTTATGAAGGAAACCCGCTTCTTTGTGGACCTCCATTGGTAAAAAGTTGCAAGGAAACTAATGCACAACCAAAGGTACCACATTCCTTAAATGAAAAAAGAGAAGGCAGTTTGATAGATATGGATGTTTTCTATATAAGCTTTTTAGTTACTTATGTGGTTGTTTTGTTATCAATTGGAGTAGTCCTATACATAAATCCATATTGGCGACGAGCATGGTTTTATTTGATTGAGAGGTGTGTCACCAATTGCTACTATTTAACCTTGGATAATATTCTAAGATTCTAGTGTTGTAATAATGTAACTAATTTATGTCTGTTAGGATGTACTTTCATCCATGCCAAGTTTTAATAATGCAATTCAGTTTTCATGAATTAGTACTACTTAATTTACTTTTCATTGATTCCTGCACTATTTTTTAATTAAATTGTGTGTTCCATCACTTTAGGCTACTCTAGTTGATCAGCTAGGCAGTTATGACTAATTTAGATAGAGACCATTATTCTAGACTGTTTAAACTTAGTTGTGAATGGTAAGTCAAGAAGCATCATTTTGCAGTGGACAGATTGAAGCAAGCGTTTTTGAACAGAGTAATTCAATTACTAAAAGGAATCATGGTTTTATCTTCATTTCAAG